AATCTTGCCTTCTTTGGCTTTCCATCTATCAGACCTTGAACTCCTTTTCTCCAAGTCATAGGTAGTAGATTTATCCTTTCAGCTACATCTTTTCCTACAGCACTTTGATATTCCCCTAATGTTCCATTTCCTTCTGTCCTCCCATGGATTTTGCAGGCTCAGTAGAGCTTCTCATTTCCCCCTCCTATGTGGTATGGTTACTATATCAGGGCTCCTGGCCTCTTCTTCCTTTAAGTAAGAACAGACATTTGTTCTGAGACATCCCACATAAAATCAATCACTGTGCAAACACTTCTGTTGCCTCATTGTTCTAAGTTGAATAATCCTATCCATAAGTACTGTCCAGAGCCTAGCAGCTAACCCTAACCTGATATTTATCTTTTGAACCTATGGGGCTCCCCTTTGCTGTACCTCATCTCTCTTAATCTTTGCTCAGAATCTTAATCCAAAGTTTCACCTCCCCCAAATCATGGACATATGAGCTTTGCCACATCAAAAGACTGTGTTAACTTCAAATTCATCCAAAGATGTTCAGTATTCTCTGCTAATCTTTCCAGTCCTTCTATTGCAAATGTTGCCCAATTTTTCTGAAACCACCCAATGCAACATTTGCAACACACATGCACACATACACACATACACACAGTATCAAGGCATTATTGCTTTTAAAAATATTCAATATCTTGGAGCAGGTTTTTTTTTTTCCCTGAAGATTTATGTATTTATTTATACAAGCAATGGGTACAGTCAGAAGCGCGGGAGAGTGAGAGAATTCACCAGAACCAGAGCCGGGAGCAGAACAGGCAGAAGAACCGAGGCACACTGCTGAGGGGAGCAGCAGACGCAGCAGGAGAGGTCTGTGCGCCATGTGGGACCCTCACCGGCAGCCGGGGATCGAACCAGAACTGCAGAGGCTGCGGGCAGCTTTGCAGCCCAGCACTCAACTGCCGAGCCACCAGGGAGGCCCTCTTGGAGCAGTTTTAAGTTTATAATGAAATTGGGAGGAAGGTACATATTTCCAATATACCCCATCCTCGCCCTAACATGCAGTTTCCCCCGTCATCAATATCACTATTCGAAGTGGTACATTTTTTCTTATCAAGACTAAACCTACATTGACACATATTATCACACAGCATCCATAGCTTACCTTAGGATTCATTTGTGATTATGTACATTCTACAGATTTGGACAAATGTATAATGACATATATCCATATTTTGATACAGTCATGTGTCACATAATGACAATTCGGTCAGTGATGGACCACATGTACCGTGGGTTCCAATAGGTGTACACTGGGTTATACCACCTATAATTGTGTAATTATGCTGACATTCCCATAGCAATAAAGTTGCCTAATGACACATTTCTCAGAATGTCTTCCTAGCGTTAAGCAATCAAACGATAATGACTACCTTGGACTGGTGGTGAACTATGGGTGCTTTGGTGAGGGTGCAATTTGGTATCAATACCTAATGTGGGGTGAGGATGGGGGAGGTAAGATCTGTATTTCCAAAATACAAACAGTGATGTAAACCAATGTTAGCCTAAATATTTTTTAAAAAAATATTTTCACTGTAATAAAAATCCTCTGTGTTTTACCTGTTCATTTCTCCCTTCCCCTGCCCACCCCTGACAAACACTGATCTTTTTTTTTTTTCTCCATAGTTTTGCTTTTTCCAGGATGTCATACCATTGGAATCATACAATGTAGACTTTTCAGATTGGCTTCTTTAACTCAGTAATATATCGATGCATTTAAATTTCTTGCTTTTCTTTTCATAGCTTGATAGCCCATTTATTTGTGGTCCTGAATAATATTCTATTTTCTTGATATTCCAGTTTATTTAGTCACTCACCTACTGAAGGATATCTTGGTTGCTTCCAAGTTTTGAAAGTAATGAATAAACCTGTTTTCAATATCTACGTGCAGTACTATGTATGCATATAAACTTTCAACTCTTTTGCATAAATACCTAGAAACGTAATTGTTGGGCCATGCAGTTAGAGTGTATTTAGTTTAGGAAGAAATAGCCAAACTGTCTTCCAAAGTACCATTTTGCATTCCCATCAATAATAAATGAGTATTCCTGTTACTTCTATCCTCACCAAGTGTTTTGAATTTTGACAAGTCTAATAGATACGAAATATTATCTTATTGTTTTTGTGTTTATTATTATTTATTGAGAAAAAAATGACACACAACATTACATTAATTCAGATTTATAACATGACTCAATATTTGCATATATTGCAAAATGATCACCACAATAAGTCTAGTTATCATCCATAAGTACACATCACTACAAAACTTATTTTTCTGTGGTAACTATTAGCAACTTTCAAATATAATATAATATTATTAACAATAGTGACCTCACTACACAGTATTGTTATTTTAATTTGCATTTCCTTGATAACATATTCTTATATGCTGACTGGCTTTCTGTATTTCTTTGTTAGAGTATCTGTCAAATCTTTTGACCATTTTCTAAGTAGGCTATTTATACCTTTATTGTTGAGTTTTAAGAAGTTTTTGATATGTATTAGAAATAGTCATTTATCAGATATGTATTTTGCAAATATTTTCTCCCAGTCTGTGGTTAATCTTCTCATTATCTTGATATTATAATTTTAAAAGCAATGTCAACTTATCAACTACTTATTTCATGGATCATGTCTTTGGCATTATATCTCAAAAGATATCACCCTATTGATTAACAAGTAAACTATTTCCCTTTTACTTAGACCCATCTCTTTTTTTCCCCAAGAATTCAATTTTCCTGCAAAAAGAAATGAACTGTTTCCACTTCTTCTATTATCTTCTCTTTGGTGAATTGTATGGTTTTTTATTTTACATTTAGATCTCTAATTTTGAGCTAATTTTTGTGAAAAGTGTAGAGCTTTTTAACCTTGTTCCCACACTGTTTGTTGAAGAGACTTTGTTCCATTGTATTGGCTTTGCTCCTTTGTCAAAAATCAATTGGTTGTGCTTATGGAGGTTTATTTCTGGACTCTGTACTATTCCACTGATCTAGTCATCTACTCTTTTGCCATTTCCACACTGCCTTGATTACTGTAACTTTACAGTAAGTCTCACAATTGGTGGCATCAGTCTTCTAACTTTATTCTTCTATATTATGTTGGCTAATCTGTCTTTTGCATCTCCATATAAACATTTGAATCAGTTTATCAATACTCATTATACAACTTGCTGGTATTTGATTGAGATTACATTGAATTTATGAATCAAGTTGGAAAGAACAAACATCTGACAATATTGTCTTCCTACCCATGAACATGGAATATCTCTCCATATTTTAGTTCTTCACTGATTTCATTCATTAGATGCTTAAGGTATGCCTCATTAGCACAATAAGATTTGTACATATTTGTTAGATTTATACCTAACATATTTGTTAGATTTGTAATAATGTATTTGTTAGATTTATTCCTAATTATTAATTTTCTTGGGTGCTTACCCAAGAAAGCTTACTTTCTTGCTTACATTAATAACATTATTGTTTTTGTTTTAAATTCCAGTTGTTCATTTTTTGTATATAGAAAAGTGATTGACTTTTGAATATTAACTTTTTTCCTGTACCTTTGGTATGAATCACTTAAAAATTTTGGTGAGTATTAATATTTTTAGAGTTAAAAGAATATTTTGATTTTTTTTATTTTTTTGTTTATTCATACAAGAATCAGGGTACAGACCAGATGTGCTGGAGGGTGAGAGGATTCACCAGAGACAGGTCGGGGAACAGAACAGGCAGACTGACTGAAATACACTGCTGAGGGGATCCCTGGCCAGCTGGGATCAAACAGGTGCTGTAGAGGCTGTGGACAGCTTCACAGTGCTGCACTCAACCACTAGCGCCACGAGGGGAGGCCCTGGTTAATTATTTTAAATCTTAACTCTCCCTGGAGGTGCAAGGGGTTAAGCACAGAACTGTTAAGCTAACCACAGCCTCTGCAGCACATGTTAGATCCCCTGCTGGCCAGGGAGTTACCTACCTGGCTCAACAGACCTCTCTTGCCTCTCCTGCTGTTTCCCACAGCAGTATATTTCAGTCAGTCTGCCTGTTTGCTCCCCATTCTGTCTCTGATGAATCTTCTCACCACCTGCACCTCTGGCCCGTATCCCAGTTCTTGCATGCATAAGTAAATAAATCTTTTAAAAGAATTTTTAAATCTTTATTTATTTAAAATAATACAGAGGAAATAATATGGTGCCTGAAATTGACATTTAAATTACACAGCTAGTGCTGAGTAAAGGGGCACAGATGAAACAAGAATGGTCATATGATAATTTCTGACACTGAGAGATGCCATGCATATAGGGGTTCACCCATATTAGTCTTTCTTCTTTTGTGTAGTTTAGAAAATTTCTGCTAAAATATATTTTGAAGAAGAGTATCTTAATAGTGTTTTCAACTAGGCTCTCACTCTCAACCCACTTAACTCTCTTGTTCTAACTTCCTTTTTTTTTTGCTCTCTTGAGCTCCCGAAACTTCTTGATTGAGTAATAAGTAAAATATTTCCCTTTTTCTAGTCCCATTTTTCTAGTCTCATTTTCCCCCCAAGAATTCAATCTTTTTCCAGAGTGAACAAACTTCTTTTTATCATTTTCTTAATATCTATCCCTTCATCACTTTTTCCCATTGATGTTCTAATTGCAAGGTCAAATTTTCTGAACAGTTTTCTTTTCTTGATGTTACCAAAAAGAAAATCCCTAACAAGAAAGTGTTCTGGACAGATATCTTGAAATTATTCTTCTTAGCCTTTGATTTGCAATAAAGATAGCGTTTTTTCCCCAGCATTTATTGTGACATAAAAATTATAACATAGGTCCTATATGAAAAAGCCTATATTACTTTTTGTCTGCTCTACCTCTTCTGTGGTTAAAATTATAACTGGAGTTTCTGAAATTCGTACCCAGGAGCAGTCTTTTCAACATATACAGCTTATTTTTAAATTAATTTCATTTATTTTCACATCAGAAGGGAAATGTGCCATAAAAAGGTTTAAAGGAGGCACATACCACACAATGGTGTGAATACCCATTCAATCATCATGCTCATGAACCAGAAAAGGATATTTTAATTTTGTCAGGGGAGAAGGGGATGGAGAACATGCAGTTTAGAGGTAGTGAAAGATCTAGATATAGATGCTGGATTTTCCAGAACCCTATGCAAAAGCCATATGAGCCCAGAAACTATAGGTTTTTGGTGAAAGTAGAACATTCCTATTTGGTATGAATTTTGGTGGATCATTTTTGGGTTCTGGGAAAATTTATAATTTTTTCCATATAAATTAATGGTAGCAGCATTCCCAGACCCCCAAAATAGCCTACTAATCATACCAATGAGAATGTTCTACGTTTGGGGCCTCCTGGTGGCGCAAGGGGTTAAGCATCACACTATGAAGCAATCCACAGCCTCTGCAGTTCGATCTGCGGCCAACCAGAGAGCAACCCACATGGTGAAGCAGACTTCTCCTGACTCGCCCGCTGCTCCCCTCAGAGTATATTTCAGTCAGTCAGCCTGTTCTGCTCCCCACTCTGTCTCTGGTGAATCCTCTCATTCCCCACATCTCTGGCCTGTACCCCAGCTCTTGTATGCATAAATAAATAAATCTTTTTTTAAAAAAAGAATATTCTATGTTTGGATAGTGGGGGAACCTGTATATGGTGCTTAATGCATTTGTAGTTTAAAGCAAGGAAAAAAAGTCAGGATTTGGAGCAACTGATTTAGAGCTGCTACTGAGGTCTGATGCTGACAAACTGAAGGTCAGTATGGCCATTAGTGCTCTATGCCCCATGGGGATCTTAACCACCCTTGTATACCTATCTGAGAAATATTACATAGGGAAAACATCATCATGAAAGCACAAACATCTACAAAAGCCTCACACAGTAAAGACCTCCTGTTTTGAGGTGGCACTTAAATGGCACTCTGCTTCTGGACACCTCTATACCTGATGCAACTATGTTTTAGTCACTGAGCTACTTCAGCGCAAGCAGCCACCGAATCATAGATTCTCCATTTCCCTACATTGAATGTTACTGTCCATTTTGTGTATATAGTTGTTTCTCAGCACATATTTGGTCTGAAATTGTCTCCCACTTCCAGTGTATGGGTTAATGAAGAAAACACTCAAAGAACAAGTACCCAACTGTATTAAGGTCTCAGCAGGCCAACTGCTTAAGTATTCTAAGAGAATGTACCTTAGATCTGAAGTTTTCTTAGACCTTGGATCTACAAATTCACACTGGGGTGTGTCCAAAGTGCAGATAATGTACAACTGACTGCAAGAACAAGACTGCATTATACAGTCTCCAAATAGGGGTCACTGCCATTGGAAGAGCACTATGCTTATTGTCTTACTGCTCAGCTACAGAGAGAAGGCGAGCCTGTTTGTACCTGAAAGTCTCCCAGAAAGAGAAAAAAGTGGCTCCCTCCCTTGTTTAAGATTCATTATAAAGGAAGGGTATCACATTCTGTCTGGAGGGGTCGGGGATGGAAGCAGAAAAGTCTTCATCAGGACTATTCCAAGAGAAAAGAAGGGCTAAAAAATGTGTCCTTTTGACTGGGTCAAAATGAGCTCTTGTGAAGAAAATAAATTTTCCTCCACAACTTCAATTTTAAATTTGAGGGTTTAAAATTGAAGAGACTACAGTGGAAGGGCTGGACAGGCAAGTGAGTCATCTAGTTAAAGAAAGTCACCAATTAAGATTTCCCATAAAGGGCCTCCCCTGATGGCACAGCGGTTGAGCGCTGGGCTGCGAGGCTGCCAGCAGCCTCTGCAGCACCGGTTCGCTCCCCGGCCGCCGGCAAGGGTCCCACAAAATAAATAAATAAATAAATAATGATTACTTTAAAAAAAAAAAGATTTCCCATAAAACCTCACAGAATTCTTTCATTTTACTACTAATAGAGTATTATAATTGATAGCTCTTTTAGTACCACTTTTCACAGTTTTTCTAACTCTAAAATTTCCATCCTTGGAATATAATATTGTATTTCAATTTCTCTGTAGTACTAGTCTTTGCTATACTGTTCAGTAAGGAATACCTTAATGTATTATGGTTCTCAAAGTGAGGTCTGTACCAGTAGCACCTGCATCACCAGGAAATTTGTTACAAATGCAGATTCTTCCAACATAGACCACTGAATCAGAAATTCTGGTGGGGTGGAGTCCAGACATCTGTGTTTAATAAGCCCTCCAGATGATTCTCATGCTCACCAAAGTTAGAGAATAATGATTCTAAGAGTTGACTTGATAGATGTATAAATTGATTGAACAATTAAATGACTCATCATAGACTGAAAGGAGCCAATACACTCAAGAAAGTGCTAAAGTCTGGTTTCAAAATAGTAAAATAAATAGTGTGTAACCTCACATTCAAATAATGCTATCCACATCAAAGCCAAATCCTCAAGGTGACAATTATTTCACCCAGTAATGGAAAAATCTGATGTCAACATGGCCTTTAAAAAATGTGTGTAACTATGTATTTGTACTTTTCTTTGTTTCTTTATTTTTTTACAGAGCAAAAAAAGAGTAAACATCCTTCTTCATTCTCACAGCATTGCATCATTTCCATCCCCAAGGACTCAGTGTCAGCCTCTCTTTGCAGTGTCCCACAGGACTGGCTGCTTCCCTCCTCCTCCATCATGACCTGATTCCCCGTTTCTTCATAAATTCTGCTCATCAAAACTCATCATTTTTTGAACTAATATTGCATGTGGTTCTGCCCACAGTGTCAAGAAGAGCTTTGACACAAGAGACATAACGATGATTAATTATTGTCTGGACGTCTGAGACAACAAACAATGGTTTCTTATTCCTCTATCCTTTCTTCCAGTTTCAAGCACTCATTTTCTGCAGACTCATTTTCCTATCTCTCTCCCATTCCAACCCCCTATCCTCTGGGAATACCTGTTATATGAAACAGGCAAGATTATAATCTTACACCCTGTTATTATTACTATAAAACTATTGAAGAAGAGCTATTGAACAAATAAAGCATACATATTCAATAGCCTTTAAATCAATAGGTGATTTTAAACAGCTTACAGAAACCTCAATTTCCCAAGCTGTGTACTGTCCCCATAAACTTGGAAGCCTCAACGAGAAATCCAGAGGGCTTCTACTTATGCTGTTCTACCCCTCAGGCTTTTTGGAAAGCATATTTCTGAGCATTTGTTTTTATTGTGACAAGTAACAATTCCTCAAAATTTTTGATAATTTTCTCTCATACAAGGAAAATTTCAGTTTCTGCGAAACACCATCCTCCTGATTCTTCAAATTCCTTAATGCAAACACTGTTCCCCTTCAATGTGTAGTGCCTATTGTTGTTGCCTTTAAGGATGGCAGAACTTGACCCAAAACTGCTGTTGGTTACCTCTCAAAAATCTGCTTCTGAATATTCTATGAGTATTTGACATAGGTTTTGCTAGGGGACTGTTAACAATTCCAAGTCCAGAGGACAGATCTAAGTAAGGGTCGTTTAAAATCCCAAAGGGAAGAGGTCAAAACTGAAATCAAAGATACCTTCAACACCACTGTAATCAGGCTAGAAGTTCAACTCTTAGCCATGCCACTGTTTTATGACTTGCATATAGTAATAGCGAATGTTCTTGTTATCACACCATTTCACAGATCCATTCAACTTTCCAGTAAAGTCAATATTCCCATGCCCATTCATTACATGAAATTAAATATAATGGGAATACCTTGCACAGAGTCCCATGGTTAGGTAAAATGGAGCTGGGATAGGAAGTTTCTACCTTATCTATATCTGGAATTGAAGATAAAGGTAGTAATACTAGACTTAATTAAGGATTTTTGTATTTCTGCTTGAGCTCTTTTATCCTTTTCTTCATTTTGATTTCATATCATGTAAATCTTACTAAATCAGAATTTGCATAAAATTTCTTGAAATGCATAATCCTGTACTTGAAAATAATATTAACTCAACACTAAATTTTTGTTTCATCAAACAAAACATGATTAAAATTGCCAGAACATTTTCTTGGGTTGAATGTGGAGGAAGAGTCTGAGCACAAAACTTCTGAATGAATTTTTGATCACTAAAGTGATTTTTGCTTTCTTTTTTTCAAGGGCAAGCATGAATCCACTTCCAGCTTAGGCAGGTACATGTTTCCTTAGGATTTTTTTTGTTTTTGTTTTTGGACAAAAGGAAAGAATCATCCTTTCACTGCTTAAAATGATGCACATCAGAAAATTAATGAAGAAATCTGACCCCATTTCTTTTAATGTCAGGATTGGATGAGGCTCTCGGCGTTCAGTTTAGTTAGCTCAAGTTGTAACAAATAACCATAGAGTAAGTTATTAACAACAGAAGTTTGATTCTTTACTATTTGTCAGCCTTAAATATACACTTTATTTTATTGTCTTAATTATGTTATTTTTTATGGAGGTTACTACATATATAGTTTACTACACTATACATGATTTAGGGGTATAGACATGTGAACAACTCTTCAAGAGTGTGTGCTTGCACCATGCTTCCCACCAAAGTACCCACAACCTTATACCACAGTCCATTGAATCCATTCCCCTCATTGTTCCTCACCCCTCACTTATCCTTTTGGCAGCCTCAATTCTGCAGTCAGGCATTGTCTGGCTTAATTTTGTCTGTGCCTTTTTTTCTTCTTATTCTGCATACGAGTGAAATTGTATAACATTTATCATTCTCCTTCTGATTTTTTTCACTTAGAATAATCCCCTCCAGTTCTATTCCAAATGTCAAAATTTCCAAAATGCCAAATTTTCATCCTTTTAAAAATTTCTGAACAATATTCTATTATGTATATATGTTACATCTTCTTTATCCACTCTGACCTTGAACACTAAGGTTGTCTTCATAACTTGACTTTAGTAAATAGTGCTGCTTTGATCAAAGGAGTGCACGTTTTTCTTCAAATTAGTGTTAATGAATTCTCTGGGTAGACATCTAAGAGTAGAATTGCTGGATCATATGGTAGATCTATTTTTAATGTTTTGAGAAGCTTCAATACCATTTTCCAGAGGGACTACACCAGTCTATCTTCCCACAAATAATGAATGA